GGGCCTATGCCTGGGTTCTGCTTGAATTGGTTATTGTTGCTTACTGCACTGAAATGCTGATTTATGGGTGACATGCCAAATTGGTGCTGATGAGGGAACACTTCTGTCATGGATATTTTACAATGTTAATGCAATATTTATACAGCCCTGTGTGAGTTTGATATGTTTTATACTATACTTTCTCCTGTGACAGGAACTACCTTTTGTCCTGTTCTGAGGATGGCACCGTGAGATTGTGGAGTCTCCAAACATTCACGTGTTTGGTGGGGTACAAAGGACACAATTATCCAGTTTGGGATACACAGTTCTCTCCTTATGGTTATTACTTTGTGTCTGGGGGACACGACAGAGTGGCTCGGTAAGAAACTGCATGTGTTTTTCACTTATCTGGATCAGTTTGTGGTGGATCAAACCTGAAATTCATTAGCTGATATACTCTTGCCTACTCTATTACTCAAAAGAAATTTTATGCCAGTTAAAATACTGAATAAATGTTAATGCAGTTTTACTTTTTTTTCAACACACATTATATCATCTCATGTTTTTTCTATCTTTTCAACACACATTAGTAATATCTGATGACTACAGAGATGGTGTCCTCCTAAGTGACTCTCTGATTAGAAGTATTCTCCTCTAATTGTTGAACAGCTTGACAGAATATTCTTTATTTCCCCATTCTGAAAAGTATGTTTTTCCAAAAAACACCCTAATTCAATAAATTGACCCATAAGAAATCACTCCACAATTACTTTTTTATTCTCATTGTGCAACCAGTTGTTGAATCATGGTACAGTTTGGGTTGGAAGGGACCTTTAAAGGCCATCTAGTCCAACAGCCCTGCAATGAGCAGGGACATCTTAAACTAGATCAGGCTGCTTAGAGCCCCATCCAACCTGAGCTTGAATGTATCCAGGGATGGGGAATCTCCCACCTCTCTGGGCAACCTGGGTGTTTCACTACCTTCATTGCAAAACATGTCTTCCTAATATCTAGATTAAATCTACCTTCCTTTAGTTTAAAATCATTATCCCTTGTCTTGTTGCAATGATAAAAAGGCCCTGATAAAAAGTCTGTCCCCACCTTTCTTCTAATCCTCCTTTAAGTACTGAAAGGCCACAACAAGGTTTCCCCAGAGCCAACTCTTCTCCAGGCTAAACTGTTATCCTTTCCTCATTGCAGAGGTACTTCAGCCCTCTGAGCATTTTTGTGGCTTCCTCTAAGGTTGCTCCAACAGACACAATGACTGAACTTCTTTAGGGTTCTTTTATTAATACAGCTTTTCTTTTCAGTCTGTGGGCAACAGATCACTACCAGCCATTACGGATCTTTGCTGGCCATCTGGCAGATGTGACGTGTACCCGATTTCATCCAAACTCCAACTATATTGCTACAGGCTCAGCAGACAGGACTATAAGGCTCTGGGATGTTTTGAATGGGAATTGTGTAAGAATATTCACTGGACATAAGGTAAAGGCAGATCACTGACAGCGGGAAAGTGATTTTATTTCTATGCTGAGATTGTAAACAGTTCTGTTCTGAACACAGCTTGACTGACTGAATGTGAGTAGACTAAATTAACTTGTTTTTCTGCCTCTCCATGTCTGTTTTAGGGACCAATTCATTCATTGGCATTTTCTCCTAATGGACGATTTCTGGCTACTGGAGCAACAGATGGAAGAGTTCTGCTGTGGGATATTGGACATGGCTTGATGGTTGGCGAATTGAAAGGGCACACAGACACTATCTATGCGCTCAGATTCAGTAGGGATGGGGAGATTTTAGCATCAGGTAAAATTCACCAGGAAAAGTGAAGTGTCCATTGTATTCCATAATTCTGAAGAGGAATTATATAATTCCTTAAATTGAGAAAGACAAAGTAGCATCACTTGCTTAGCAAAAGCAGCAAGGACTAGTAACTTTGATCTGTGCATTCAGTATGCTGTATGAGTCTTGCTATAGTCTTTTGCTTTCTGAGCTTTAATTTTTGTAAACTTGCTCCCCAGGACCATTTATTATATTTGTTTTATAACAAAATACTTTGAACTGTTGTTTTTTTCTTTTTAGGTTCAATGGATAACACAGTTCGTCTGTGGGATGCTGTGAAGGCATTTGAAGATTTAGAAACCGATGACTTTACTACAGCCACTGGACACATAAACTTGCCTGAAAACTCACAGGACTTGCTACTGGGCACATACATGACTAAATCAACCCCAGTTGTTCATCTTCATTTCACACGCAGGAACCTGCTGCTGGCTGCAGGAGCCTACAGCTCACAGTAGATCAGGAAGCTGAGACAGACTGTGCCAAGTCATTGCAGTAGTGACCTCAGGATGTGAGACGAGAGGGAATGTCTTGAACAGAAGGATCCCACGAGTCCATTGCAAGGAGTATGAAACTGTAATTTATGCAAGCAGCATTTTTAAGTTCTGCTGTTTCATATTTATCTGCAGTTTGAAAATGCTGGAGATTGAAAAGACATTGTGGCTGTAAAAGAAGGAACTGTTCGTGGTGCTTTTGGTAACATAGATACGTACATATGAAATGAGCCATCTCTTCCCAGAGGTGGTACTGAGGTCAGCTGAAACTTGTGAAAAGTTAACAGCCTTTACATGTGTTCTCAGATTTTTTCTAAAGCACTTAATTTATGTATAGCAAATGTTTCATCGGTCTCAAACACAAGCAAAACTGTCCATTTTCAGGAAAGAATGTAGTTTGATTCACTACAGCCTGGGCTGGGCAGCAGGCGTGGTGAGATCATAGCAGCAACCAGGGCATTGACGGAGCGGGCCGGGCAGCCCGATGCTTGTGGGGAACTGCCAAGCTCCGTGCACGGTTTGTACGCAGCCAAGTACTGAGTCCTGAAAAGATTTCAAACTGGTGTGCTCTTTTGAGGTGTCAGAAACACAGATCTTGTTACTGTTTTCAAAGGTAGCCAGTGCTGTCAGTGTGATAAGCAACCAGAAGCGCAATGTGAACTTTATTTACTTTCATACTTTATTGTATGAGAAAATAAAAAAGGGGAACTGAGGCACAACTGAAATAGTCACTATTAAAAAAGTGGACTTAAACCCTTTACTTTGTGTTAGCTGTAAAAGAACGTTAATAACTTGGATCCTTTCTGCATAAGGTTTAACATAAAAAGCCCAGTAAAACTAGCCAAGAAATTGAAACATTATAGCTGCAGGAAAGGATAAGTGTGTGGTCAGTTCCCTTTTGAAAGGCCAGCTTGTCTGCTGAGTGACAATTCCTATCCACAAAAAGATTGTACCCAGTGAGTCCTCCTGGACTACCAATAAAGCTGTGTTTTATTTTTAAAGAAGAGTAAAACATGCAGAACACAGGGAAGAACATCTGTGTCTTTGAACCAAAACCTCCACCACCAAAGGCCAGGTCCAGCGTGGCTTGGGTTTGGGTTGGTTTTTGTAGTTAATCTCTTACATGATTTGTGCAGAGAAATCTGTTTTGTGTTCCTCATTACCTCACAGTAAGGACTTGGACACTTGAACAATCTACTGGCTCTCTAGTGAAAATGAAAACAAGACTTGTCATTTCTAAGGTAAACTAAATGGAGAACTACCTCCTCTTTCATCTCTTGTTTGCTCCTACAGGCATTATACATTAAAATAAAGTGTGGAAAATTCACTAGGAAGCTCACCTAGACATTTTCTTCAAAGAAAAAAGGATAAAACTTAATTTTTTTTTTTTGTGTAATGATACCTCAACAAAACTTCCTAGCTCTTAATATGACCAGTTAGATTTAAGTACAATTTTTGACAGCTTAAAGAAAACACTTTCTTTTCCACATTCTGCCTTTGTATTTTGTACAGTTTTATACTTTTGATACCATAATAAATACTAAAACCCCTTAGTTTGTGTCTATATGTTACAAGAAGATATTTACTTCCCTTCATGGCTGGAATGGAAGCAAGAACAGTTTGTAACTGTGACAACTCTGCTAAGAGAAACAAAGTAATCAGAAAAGTTTAAGTTGATGAGTAGACAGGCCATATAAAATCTTGTTCTAAAGGAAGACTACAGATTCTAGCTCCTGCCATTATTATACTCTAATAGCCACCATTCTTTAGTGGGAGAATTAAATACAGCTGAAGCCATCTCTGCAAACACTCAGGAGGGAAAGATGACCAGATTTGTTCAGCAGGCACAGCATGTACAAAAACGGCTTTAAGAAAAAATGAAGTAGGGAGAGCATCAAAACCTTGTAATTAATTTTTCCATTTTTCTAGCAATCATTCCTACCTCCTGCTGCACTCAGTTTGGGAAGTAAACTATTTGCAAGCTTTAGCATGGTTCAACCTCTGCTGCTGGCACATTCCCACATCAGCACGACTGTGGCATCTAAGGAAGGTACCAAGTGTTAACTGAGCTATAGAAAGACACTGTGGAGAATACAACAGACACATCTGAGCATTGGGCAGGGAGGAGGCTGCACACAACTGTGGTAGAGCACCTCCTTTCACAAGAGACAGGAACAGTAATCACTGGACTATTTGGGTCACTCTTTATGAATGTGGAGAGTTACAGGAGCTTAACATTGCCAGGCTAAGACATTTTCCTCCTTCCCTCCACAAGAGAAAGCAATAACAGAAAAAGCTCAAATACCATAACTGGGTCAGGCTATTTTCAGAGGTTTTCCAGCAAAACCAAAGAGGTTCTGTGGAAAATACAGACAACTGAGGCAGAAGATGTCACAGTTTCCATGTAAGCTACTAGCCTGGAATGCAAAAAGTGGGAGCAACCAGATGGCTGCAAACCATGTGAGCTGTGACACGGACATGTGGAGATGCTTGGATCAGCTCCAGGCCCTTGCAGTGTAATGGTCCTGAGGTCCTTCCTGGGTTACTGCCTGGTGCTCAGAACTCCTTAGGTTGTGTTACAACAGCAGCAGAGTTAAGACAGCAATGACACAATCAGATGCTCCATCTCTGCTACAAGCAACTATTTTTGACAAAGAAGGAAAAATGACAAGTACCACACTCTGGCTTTTTTGGACCATTTCATATTTCCAATAAAACACGTAATTATTTATATTTTATTAGCCACAACAGGTCATCAGCCTGCATTACACTGACACAGATTGGAAGTTCAGACATGCCAGGAACCTGCCAAGAGAAGAGAGGTTAAACATAGCAATTCTTGCATGATGTTAACTGAGCATCCCCCTGTCCCAAGCCCAAACTATTTTAGCTACAAGCAGCCAGATTTCAGCACACCCAGGAAGAAATGGCTGATGTCCCCTTAACACACACCAACGTTTTATTATTGTTTTATACCCCTTTCCTCAGGCTATGAGGACAGCCCATAGGTTTTGCCAAAATGCCATTTTGGTGAAAATTCTTTATTTGAAAGTGACCCCAAAATTTTGAACACTTGGTTGTTGCTATAGAAGTCCAGTCACTTCTGCACAGGCCTTGAATAGTCATGTGTGCAACATGCACAGTTCCATCACATGGTGCTCCTGTACTCTGTTCAAATGAAGGTCTTAACAGATTGCATTAATCTCTACTTTGAATTTTAATGCAGTCAAGAAATAAGTCCTTAAGTACTACTTCATTATTTCCATAACCTACAAAGCAAGTTATCCCTATTTTACAGCAAAAGGGCAGCCCAGAGGCATGTAATATTTGTAGGCAAAGCTTGATGTGTCTTGCTGCAACATCTTCCTGTTCCTCCTTCCCTGCTTACTCTTCCTCCCTGCATCCCATCCCTAGTCCCATTTACCATGTCAGAAGAACAAGAACACTGTATCTCATCCTTTCTGCACTCCCTTTAATAACCCACTTCATTCAGAATGCCCCCAAATAAGTCAATGCTATAGATTATTTGAGGTTTAAAATGGTAAATAGGAAGTCCATGGGCCTGTGTTTCTGTCTCCCATTACACTGCATTATTGGCAACTAATCTTTTGTCACTGCTTTCCTGACCTGGCACTGAAGTATTTTGGAGGAACATCAGCCACTTACCTTTTACTTATCTGTCACAGCAGGAGCTTGCTTCTTAGGCCTAAACTTGAAATACAAGACAAGGAGTGCAACACCTGTGTATGTTGCTATTACATACTGGAAAACAGAAAAGTCAAATTTAGTTTCAGTCTAAGCCGTAGAAAACGCCACTATACAAGACTACAAAACAATGTACTTAATACATACATTCCTCCTGCCTATGATGGTATAGGAATTGAAGTACTTCTGAAATCCAGTGAACTGGTGTTGAGATCCCGAGTCATGGCCAGCCATGGCTGCTTGTCCTAACAAACAGGATAGGACAGGGAATTAATTTAATGTCACTAGGACAGGATCAATAGGAAAATCAAACTAATCTCTACACTGAGCTTCATAATTACATTGTCTGCTCCCAAATCTACTTTCAGGACATTTGACAAGTAGTGAATATACATAAGGAGTACGCACATCCAGAGCATTTTTTCCTGAGATATAAAACAGGTGATGGGAGCAGATAAAGAAATAGAGGGTTCACTGAACAATAAAAGCAGAGCGTTTTTTTAATGTTTAGAGATATATTGTTCTGAAGAGGATGTCATGTTTAGGAAAAACATTTGTTGCTTATCTTCTGCCTGCCCCCAAGGGCACCCCACACCCGACGCAGATCCCCAGCCCGGCAGATGCTGCAGCCCCGGTGCCCCTGCAGCAGACACACGGAACTGTGCTGCGGTCACTTGCACAGCTCCTGTGTGTCATCTAGCTCTTATCTAAGCCAATCCAGCAGCGTTATCTCTGGTGTATAACCAGGTAAGCGTTAGCGGACTGTGCCATAGGTAAAACGCTAAATGAAACAGCTCCTCTAAACGTGCCACACACTGTTGGCAAAGACTTGAGAAGCCAAGGTCATCTTTTCTCGTGCCTGACCGATGCAAAAGCCTGGACAAGAGCCGAGGGGCCCTTCCGAGCAGGGGAAGGCACCCCATGGAAACACGAGTCCTGTTTTCCGGAGGAGCCCGGTGCCCTTGCCCGGCTACACCCGCGACCCCGCGCTCGCGTCGGGCCGGGAAACGGACGCGGCAGCGCCGGGGACTCGGAGGGAACCACGCCGCGGCTGAAGGTCGCAGGTGCCTCGGCACTGCGGAGAGCCGCCGTCCGCCCCGGCAGGACCAGAACCCAAACCCTCAGTACCTAGGCCGCCGCCGCCACCGTCCCCGCCGCGCTTCTGCCCTTCGCCTCCGCCCTCCCACAAGATGGCGGCCGCGGGCGACGCGCGCAGCCCCCGGGCGCGCCGATTGGCTGCGGACCCCGGGGCGCGGCCTGGTCCCGCCCCCTCCCCGCTGAGGCCCCTCTGCGCCACGTCCGGCCGCCCTTTGCCCTCAGCCCTGTGTGCCGCTTCCGGCCGGCGCCGCGTGCGCCTCCCGCTGCCGTGCGCCTCCCGCTGCCGTGCGCATCCCGATCCCGGGAACGATCCCGGGAACCGTCCCCGTCCCGAGCTTCCCCCTGGCAGCGGCCCCAGGCAGGTAAGATGCCGGCCCTGCCCGCTCCAGCGGAGCCGGTTCGGTTGCCGGCCGTGGGAGGTGTGTGTGTGTGCGAGCCCCGAGGTGAAGCGTGCCTTGACGGCTTTGGCTTTATCATGTGCTTTCCATTTGTATGTCTAACAGCTCGCCTGAATGAAGTTTGACAACATAAGGGGTTCAGCGCTGTTTTTTGTAGAAGTACTGCTGGCTAATAATAAGCAATGGTGTAAGGACTTGTATAAACGCCATAAGCAATAATAATATAGTACTAGCAACTATTATTTATTTATTTATATATTATTATTTATTAGTGGTACTAACAAGTGAATTGTGGCCTAATAAGCAAGGTGTTGTTTATTGATTGAAATAGTAAAGTTAAACATCTATTTTATATACATATACTTGTGGCTTAGACAAAGAGGTAGCAAGTTATATTAATCATAAGTTATTAATTTATAAGTAGCGTTCAAAAAGTAAAAATGCAGGCCAAGCTTATCTAGTGTTTTGCTCACAGCTTTCTGCTTGATGACTGAAGCTGGCAAATTCAGCCACTGAATATAATAAAGACTAGTTTAGGCAATGTATGGTTAAAGCAGTTTTATGAATATATATGTGATGTATTGAAGTACCTTAAAAATGACTACTGTAATACTTAAGTGGAACTGTGCAGTAGTAAAAAGTGTTATGGATGTGCATATTTAGATAGACCATTGCAGCACTTCATTGTAGTCAAGTGTTAAATAAATCCATTTGGATGTGAGTTTCTGATTTGTCACTGACTAGCTAGAGTGGCCATCCAAAGTCTTTCTTATTTTGGGGGTAGTTCACTCATGTCACCTTAGTATTTGTGAGGAACAAGCACAATAACTCTATGTTTCATTTCTGCTTTGTCATTTGTCCCAGAGCAGCGCAATCATGGCATCCATGGAAGAAAACTTTCCTCGAGGGGGCATCCAGAAGAAACCTGCAGAGGGAAAAACACCCAAGCCAAAGTTAGAGCGGGACAATTTGTTTGATGTATGTTGTTTGCATGCTCTTGGTTAACTTCTCAGAGCTCTTCTACTGTCAGAATTTGACTGCAGCCCTCTCTACCTGTTACTTCTACAGTATACTATAGAAGGGACTCCCAAAAATAGATGTCTGCTGATACCCACCATCCTCCTGATCTCTGAAAGATCCCTAATACCTGTTACATCTTGAATTTGATGACTGAGAAAGTTTAGTCAAAACTATTGATCAGGCTGTAGCTTTTAAACTTTCCACAAGCATCTTATCCCAAGGTGCTGCTTGGTGAGCCTGGTGTTACTGGATGCAGGCTAAGTTGGTCTTTCTGTTGGTAGAGTGTGATGCAGATCTCTTGCACCACTCTTTTCTGTTCCCAAGATTCAGCTTTATAAATTATCAGCCTCGATTCAGCCTTATAAATTATCAGCCTCAGCCCAAAGTAGATACTTTGGAAGACTTGCACTTAGACAGACAACAGTTAACAAGATGGTTCTCTTTTTTTGTCCAAATCAGTATTTTATTCATAGCAGCAGAGTTCTGCCGTAGTGCAAAGTTTGTTTCTTTATCCACTTTTATTTTTTAACCTTCTGTGCTTGTAATCTGCTTTAGGTTCAACATGAAGAAAAATCTCAGAAAAGAAAAAGGAGCCAGAAGGACCAAGAAAAGCAGAAAAGGTTCAAGGCAGACAAAACTGTTAAAGCTGCTGTTAAAGAAAATGTTATGAATATTGGACCACTCACAATTGAGGTTGGTGCATAAATGTTTGATTTTGTGTGCCTCTCTTTTGTGGGCTACACAAAAATGGCATGTTTTTCCTTCCTAAACTGCGAAATACATCTGTCATCCAGTACAAAACTTAACATCTTATTCCCCTGTTATGACTGACTTGCCAAGATACCCGTAGTATGCTATTTTCCCTGCTCTCCCAGGCACTCAGTGAGGGGATGCTGCTCCTTGGCTGTATCAAAGAGGTCAGTCACTACGAGCTCACCATCAGTTTGCCCAACGGCCTCTCTGGATTTGTGCCAGTCACGCAGATCAGCGATGCCTACAGCAACCTGCTCACCAAGCAGGTGGCCCAGGGAGAAGTCCTGGAGGTGAGACCTGGGACTGGGGCTGTGATTTGTGCTTAGAGCTACAGGGTGTTGTGAGTACCTCAGAACCAACCCTGAGGTCTTGCTTAGGAGCCTGGCATAGACTAACCTTGGTTTGGAACTGGATTTTCCAAGCAAAGTTTGCAGTTTCTTGGTAACAGCTAACTGCTAGAAAAAAAATAAAATTAAATAATCAGTTACCCTGTCTCTCTGGTGTCAGCAGTGCCCAAGTTTCCCCAAGGCGTGGGAATGTGGGATTAGCACTACCCCTTTGCTGGTGGTGTTTTTCCCTGCTGAAGGGAAAGGCTGGCTTAGGGTCACTGTTGGCTCTGTAGATGTTTCCTCAGCTGCAGTCTCCTGACTCCAGCCCACACAGTGTTTTTAAGCAAAGCCTCTCAGCCTTGCTGACATGACATAGTGTCATCCCTGCCTCTCTATTGAGATTCTGGTGTTTGTGGCATTTCCTGCCTGTTCCTGAAGTGTTGACAGAGAAACAGGACTTTCTTATGGGATTTTGTTTTCAAAATCTGCTTCAATAACAAATTCTAGCCTTATGTTACTTAATATTGTAAAAATTGTATGTTTCTCTGTTGATCATGTTGCTGGGCAGGAGTTGAATTCCCTCCCAGACCTGTTTTCTCCAGGGACACTGGTCAGGTGCATCGTGACCAGCATTGAGAAAAGTGACGATGGACGCCGCAGTGTCAAGTTATCAATTGACCCCAAGAAGGTCAACAAGGGCCTGAACTCTACAGCACTAGCAGCAGGCATGGTAAGTTTTCTGGGTCTGTCAAAGCCTCTCTGGGCTCTTGCATTTCAGTTTGTCCTACATGGGATCAGAGCAGAATGTGGAGCTGCTCCCGCCATGGAAATGACCTGTGAGGAGAGGGTGGGTTTAGTTCTTGTCTCCAGGTTGTGATTCATGAAATTAATTCACTTTATTCTGTTTCAATATGGCCAAGTTATTTAATGATTTCTTTCTGAGTAGGTTTCTTTGTTAATTTTTCAGAGAGTAATATATAACATGGCTTGCAGAGGTGCTTGGTTGTTTGTTTTGTGTTTTCAGCTGTATGATTGTATGCACCTGCTATTTTTGAGCATCACAATTATTTTCCTACTAGTTTGTGAGCTCCTTATGTGTATAGCTAGATAAAGGTAGAGTTAAGTCCTCACTGCTAGGTGAGCTGTGTAATAAGAAAGAATGTAGTGTTCTTGCTCTGAAAAGTTCAGTTCTCTGTCCATATGAAACAAGGGAGTACTTGGGTGGTGAATCTCTTACCGTATGTTCATTCTTTGGAGACCCAGCTGTTTCATTACATTACTGAGTTGCAGTGCTTTCTTCCCAACAGCTGCTCTCTGGTTCTGTGTTGAGTGTGGAAGACCATGGTTACCTCATAGATATTGGTGTCACTGGAACTCATGCTTTCCTGCCTCATCAGAAAGCCAAAAATTACATCAAAGCAGCCAAGAAGGGTAAGAAGTAGTTCAGGAGGATCTGATGGGTTAAAATGGAGGTGGAGAATGATAGGGATTAAAGTTTATTCTATCTGTGGTTTAGTGCACCTTGGTGGGATTGGGTCTGGTTGCTGCAAACAGCAGTTTTGTGGCTGGTCTGCAACAAGCCTTTGTGTTTCAGCCCATGATCTGATAGACTGTGTTCCAAGCCCTGATGCAGTAAACTTCACATAGATTGAGATGGAACTCTGTAAAAGCTTTGGAAAGAGTGGGAGGAAATACTGAGTGCTCCTGCTAGAGGTTTTATGCTGTGACTTATCTTTGTAGGTCCTGACTTGAAAATAGGCCAGAGCCTGAACTGCCTGGTTGTGGAAGTGAAGAATGAGGGCAGGGTGGTCTGTTTGTCCATCGATCGATCGGAGGTGGCTGCATCCATTGCCACAGAGCGACAGAACTGGGCACTCTCTAATTTATTGCCAGGGCTGGTGGTGAAAGCTCGAGTGCAGAAGGTAAGCTCTGGTTTGGGTTTCTTTTGTTGGGTTGGTCTTTTGAGCATTGTTGAAGGCAGGAGACAGGTGAAGCTGAGATGAGAGTTTATGCCCTGGAAAATTTCTGGTTGGTCTCAATTACTTAGCAGTAGCAAACATAATCTGCTAGACACTTCCCTCTACTGCATTCATCTGAGGTCTGATCTCATTTCTGGTTGTGATGCCCTGAGTATAAAGGCTTCACACTGAAGCTGCTGATGGAGCTTGAAGCAGAACAGGATTCATTTTGTGTTTTCTGGCCTTTACTGCTAAAGTATTCAGAAGAATTGCAGTAGTCTTCAGAGTACACACAGCATTATCAAAAAAACAGAGGTTTTTTCAACAGACTGTGCAAAGCAGAATTGTTAGCAGTTTTTCTGTCTCTTGTGATATGCTTGTTGATTAACACCGACAGTGCTATTTTTTGAAATGTGTGAATTGCTCTCTGTGCTGCATGAAAACTGAGTGTGGAAATTTTTTTGGCATCTTTTCATTCCCCTTCCTAGGTGGCCCCACTTGGGTTGAAACTGACTTT